CCCATTTCATTTCATTTTATTTTATTACAATTGGTTATTACAATTGTAATCCCATCATTATCTGGGGTTTCGTTGTTTTGAAATGATTTTAGAGCAGTTTGACATTTATAAGCAATATCGGGTAGTTATTTCCAATACAAGTATGTCATATTTGGCATATATTGAAAGTAGACACCAAATCTTACTAATAGAAATACTGTCTTTCCTGCCAAACACCAATAGGGCACCCACGAGGCCAAAATGTAAGGATGTGCTTAACACACAGCCTGTCTGTCTACTCGACACATACTGGGTCATTTCCGATAATGGAATTTAGCAGAGAAGAAAATTGGAACACACGAAGTTGGGTAGGCGTACAATTTGGCGCACGTGTCCTCATAGCAAATATTGTATTCCCCAAACGAAGCTGCAATATCAGGTAATATCTTGTAATATCAAATTATAGCTCTTAAAAATGACCTAGTCAATGTTGAGTGGACTGTTTCCTTTCGCTCAATCTGATTAAAACACAGATCCTATTTCGTTTCGTTTTTATAGTTCAAAATCTCATTTTACTTGTCTTTACTACACTAGGATGTGGAAGAGTTGTTATATAACCCGCGTTCTGGATGATGCAAGAGATTAGTCAATGAAATGGTCTGTTACGGCGAGTTTTTGGCGTGTCGTGCACGGAACTGTAACCCACTAGAAACATCAATTGGTTAATCAAATGTCTGACGTTATAGGGTCAAACGCCGCTCGTATGACCTCTTTGTGACGCGATTTTCCACTAAAACCGGTCAGATCATTATGTAGTGAAAGCCATCGAAAGTATAAAAAAAACGAAACGAAATATAGATCTATACTTGAATCAGATTGCCTTTCCCTTTAACGGAGGAGTCAGGGACGGCTAAGTGGGTAAGACGCTGGCTGGCTAGCCTGGAGGTCGGGTGTTCGATCCCTGCATTGGCCAAGAAAGTCCATCCAGATTTTCCGGCGTGGTCCCCCCCCACACCCCCTTGTCAGTGATCGAGGACCGAGGGCCGGACAAGGACAGCTGTCTAGTCGTTCGGATGGGACGTAAACCGAGGTCCCGTGTACGCACTGGCATGCACGTAAAAGATCCCTTGACAGTTGGAATTCGATATAAGAGTAGGCCTTAGTGCCACTGTCCGGGAAAAGGTTCCCACATGGCACACTGCATGGCGTATGTCAATCTTCATTAGTCTATTTCGGAGAAGAACAGTAGGACGTTAAACGCCATTTTATTTCATTTTCATTCTCTTTAACTGCTAACAACTGTCGCTATAACATGTTTGTAAGTATATTCCCTACAGCACATCAGCCTAATTAATAGATTTGTTATAACGTAAATACCAGCCATGTTTGTTTAATACCTGTCGGCCATGTTTGTTTAATGGATATTGAGTGTTTTTTATAATAGCTGGTTTGTTTGTTATGTAATTGTGTTTTATTATGACGTCATCTATTTTTTCGCCGAGGGAAATGTCATATTGTAGTCTGTAATCTCGAACACTTTCCCTAGTGCAGCCTTGATGTAATGAAATGGGGTTTAACGCCTCGTCTACACACTTTGGTCATTTTGACACTGACGTTCCATACGTCATTTGAATGGTTACGTAGGTAGGATATTTTGACTGGGCAGCGCCTACCCTTCATTGAATTCCAACTGTGTTGGCTGAGATATTTCATGGGGATTTTCCGGCGTGGTTTCCCCTTTCCAATGGTGCAGGACGGAGGACCTGACAAGGACAACTGTCTAGTCGTTCGGATGGGACCAAAAATGAGCAGTAAATTCATATAAGAACTGCACTCTCTCTTCGTTTCCTTTTATATTTGGGAATGTCTAAAAAATTTCTAAATTCAAACTTGAATCTCAAAAAGCAGATCTGATGGATGTATATCTACAGCATGACTCAAAAACACATTTAATTAAATACGTTTCCTGAAACAAAATATCTAAAACGAGCTACTAGTGTTTAACGCCCGCTTCCACCGAGGGTGATATCGCAGATACGTTGTCTTATTTTATTATGCGTAGCACCCACGCAGGGGTCTTTCCTCTTGGAGTACATCGGGGTACCCGGAATAAACCGCGAAGTTGAGAAAGCATTCCTATCACCTAGTGACGTATATACGAGCCTAGTTATCTGTGTTATACGCTATGGGAACATCAGAGTCTACAAGCACCTGTTGTCTTCTCATTGACACTTGTTGTTTTATCTTTAATATTACTGTATGGCCGGTTTCCTCTCACTGCTCGAGTGGACGTGAATCTCTCTATCTCCCTCTCTCTCTCTCTCTCTCTCTCTCGTATGTATTTCTTGGGATACGCATGGGACAGGGGAGTTGAGCGAGATCACTGTCCAACCTCGTGGGTTTTCTCTGGGCCCTACGCGTAAATAGTGAAATAAAATTAAACTATATATTAGTCCCGAAATGACGTAGTTTGTGTCGACCAGGCTAGACTAGTCAATCATCAACGCCCACTATAAAATCAAGAGGTTATCTATGTGAACCGCCCGAATGACAAACATCTACGTCACACCTGTTGTGTACCGATCAGGTTATCTCTATAAAGATACCTGCCATATTAATAACAAATCAAAACAGATCGATAGATCAATCAATAGATTCGGTCATTTTCTGCAGACTCATTCATTTAGTAAGATAACAGGAGGACGAGTTTATTTTCTTATCGGTTGAATAGGTCGGAGATTCCAACACATCGATTTAGGCACGACAAGGATTCGGATTAGGGTTTGATTTAGGGGCAGATAACTGTAACACGAACATAACCAGAATTCTCGATATAGGAATATACCTTGCCGAGTGGCATCTCCGACCTGCCTGGTCTCTTCCTCAATAAATTTACCTAATCTCCCCAACGATTTGGAAATATATACCTTGCCGAATGGCATCTCCGACCTGCCTGATCTCTGCCTCAATAAATTGACCTAATCTCCCCAACGATCTGGAAATAGTCAACACCGTAGCAGTTACAAAAGTAAGCTTGTCCCAGGGTTTGCTTTGTCGCGTTTGTGTTTGTAAGTCGGGACTGGACATGTTTTAGCTCAGTGGTGACGAAGGAAGTGACATATTGGATCATTCCATGTGACACATTTCACGGCATGATAATACCTTTTACAAAACAAAATAATCAATAAGAGACAGATATCAGACTAGGATCCAATAAAAACAGAATTAAAACATCTCATCAAGGTAAATAATGCTTCTATCTTTCTTAATATGTGGGGGTTGAATTGGCCAAAATGGTTAGCGCATGCGCGTTGTATCATAAGGTCTGTCATTGAGTCAACTGGCGTGGGTTTTCTCCGGGTCCTCCGGTTTCCCCCTTCCCACTTCTAAAGACCTCTACGTGCAAGTAAATTATTGAAATAAAATTGAACCATTATATGTTAGTCCCGAAACGGCCTAGTTTGTGTCTAGTCGTTCAGATGGGACTATACAAAGAGATCTAACTAATTCATACTTCGAGAATTTTACCACCCATATGTGTACACGGGACCTCGGTTTTTCGTTCATTCCTAACGACAAGACTCTGTTCCTCGCCGAAGTTTTGGATGACTGGGCGGTGTATGCCCATCTTCAATAACCCCCCAAAAAACCCATTTCATTTCATGTCTTTAGAACAGGGGTGTCAAACATGCCGCCCGCGGGCCAGATTCACCCCGCCAAGGGTTTAAATGTGGCCCGTGGAACAAAAGGGATGACTGGGCGGTGTATGCCCATCTTCAATAACCCCAAAAACCAATTTCAATTCATGTCTTTAGAACAGAGGTGTCAAACATGCAGCCCAGGGCCAGGTCCGACCCACCAAAGAATTTAAATGTGACCCGTGGAACAAATTTTAAGAAACTGAGTGTCGATAATTCTTAGAAACTAGTGGTGGAAAACAGTTATTATTGTTTTCTGGTTTCAGTAAAACCATGACTTCTGTACTGTATAGATATCTAAGTTGTATGTAATAAGAGAACGCTGTGTCCAATATAATATCTTGACAATTTGGAAACCAGTCTAAAAAAAATACATGTGTCAAGGACGTTTGTTTTTGTTTTTAGAATACCTTTGTCTTTATCTTGATGTTCGGCTTATCTTGATATTTTTTGTATATCTTCGGCTTACTTGATGTACAATTTTAGTTCATGCGGCCCCTGAACCATGATGAGTTTGAGAGAGAGAGAGAGAGAGAGAGAGAGGGGGGGGGGGGGTAACGTCTACTCCGGACTAACATATGGTTCAATTTTATTTCAATAATTCGCTTGCGCATAGGGGTCTTTAGCAGTGGGAGGAAACCGGAGGACCTGGTGAAAACAAACGAGGTTGAACAGACGACCCTACTCCTTGTCACATACAACCGGGGGATTCGAAACCACGCCAGTCGACTCAATGACAGGCCTTATGATATAACGCGCACGTGCTAACCATTCTGGAATCCACCCCCACCCCCGAAATGAGTGTGACACACCTGCTCTAGATTATCTGATTATAAAATAATTTTTTTATAATTCATTTTCGTCCATTTCAGGAGCATAGTATTGAATGAGTGGTGGTCATGGACTTATATCTATTTGAATTGGAAATGTTTTTAAATTGCAAATATCCATGCTCAGACACCATAACGTCTTGATGACGAACTAAACAGCCATATGTAGTTTCTAAGGCAACTGATAAATCACAGGACCATGACTAATTTTAAATTGAAATGTTTTAAAGGACCGGATCATCCTATTCAAGAACTTCCTTGACATTCCGAAGTTATCCGAACTTCTTAAGAACCGGAAATATGCCCTCGTTTGCTTTTCGTGATATTTAATTGAAAAGTGTTATAAAGGACACAACCATACTAATAATCTTCAACGTTTCCGATACATCCCCACGATGTCCGAACTTCTTAAAAACAAAATATGGCCGCGTTTCTTTTAGTATTGGCGATTTCGTTTTCTGATTTTAAATGGGGAGTGTGTCTGCCGGAATTTGAAGAAGTGAATTCAGATGGTGATCATATCTGAGGAAGTTTGAAGAAACCGGAAGTGAATTTAAATGGTGAACGGGTCTGATACAGAGAGCGCAATAACGACTGAAACTATCCCACTTGCAGCTCGTGTATTAACTGGGATGGTGCTCCTAGTCACCATGGTGATAAGTATATGTGGTAATTTTGTGGTGTGTTATTTAGTGTACCGGAAGCCGTCCATGCGATCGGCCATTAACTTGCTATTAGCACATATAGCCCTGGCTGACATTTTATTATCGGCTTTGGTTATGCCGTTCTCTTTCGTCACTTTAATAACGGAAACTTGGGTGATGAACGTCATAGTGTGTCGTCTTGTTGGATTCCTACAAGCGTTCTTCTTGAGCGTGGGGGTGTTCGTTTTACTGGCCATCAGTGCAGATCGTTATCTCATCATATCACAAAGGCGTGAAAAACTTAACCTTCCGCGAGCGCGCGTTGTACTCGTCATTATATGGTGTTCTGGTGCGGCCTTGACCTTGCCACCTGTTTTTGGTTGGACGAATTATAGTTTCGTTAAAGGGCAGACGCTGTGTTTGTTGTCTACGAAGGAAACGTTTCCCGATATACTTTACGTATTCTTGTATACGATCATCTCCTTCTTCTTGCCAGTTGCGTTAATGTTCTGCGCATTTGTGTTTATCATACAGATAGTGCGCAAAAATGGAATTAAGGTTCACCATCACCCGGCCCCCCCGACTATCATCACGTATCGCAGCTCTAACGACTACACGGATACGGACAATTTTCAAAATATCTGCAGTTGCCCATCATCCAGACGTTCGAGCGTAATGACATATCATAGACCTTCCGTCAGTGTGACCGAGAGTAGTAGTCGTTGTCTACCAGTGATGAGGCGAAGCATAACCGTAGACATGAGTTTCAAGACGCGGGCTTTTAAAACAATCTTTATCTTGTTCGTTATATTAGTTGGGTGCTGGACGCCATTTATTTCAATGTGTTTATCTAAGAGTTTAACCAATAGCTCGCATCCATTGGCTATGACGTCATTACTATTTCTCGGCTACATCAATTGTGCCCTAAATCCGATTATTTACGCCCTACGCATCAAGAAATTCCGCGACGCCTGTAAACAAATAGTTCCAAAATGGATAACTTCTTGCCAACGCCAACATAACCAGAACAGAAGAGCTGATCACATCTCAGTTTACGTGCTAAATGAACGATCGTCAATATAAACTGAAAGATCGGGAAATGATGGTCAATATAAACTGAAAGATTGTCAAAAGATCGTCAATATAAAATGAACGATCGTCAATATAAAATGAACGATCGTCAATATAAACTGAAAGATTGTCAAAAGGTCGTCAATATAAAATGAACGATTGTCAATATAAAATAAAAAATCCTCAGTCAATATAAATTGAAATATCACCGTCGATGTAAAATGATGTACTGATGTCATCCGTCTTGCTCCAGCCTCGGTAGTGGATCGTTCTGAGGTCTTACTTTGAGCATGTTTTGACTACAAAAAACGTTACTGGCCTATAACTTCCAATTACACTGATCCAAACTCTACAGCACATAGCTTAACACATAATAAACCAATTCACCTTCAAGGGTGAAAGCCTAACCACATAGTTGGCTCTGATTAAACCCAACTGCTATGCGAAAGTTCTGTTCATTTTAAAATGGGCTTCGACCCAGAATCACGTCACGTCGAAATTACAGAAAAACTGTTTGGGAAGATAATTGAGGGGGGGGGGGATTTCAGAATTGATCCACCAATTTTATTTTTAAAGACGGGTTGGTAGGCACTGGCAGATTCCACAACATCAAGGGTGATAACTCGAGAAGCAATTATCAGAAATTGTTATAATTTGTTCAGATGATGCTACATGCTGTTAGAATGTTCATGAGTTTATGGCGTGAGCAAGAGTAATAACTCTAGAATGTTTTGGGGGAAATTGCCGAGTTGGAGTAAAATGACAACGAACTATGCACCCCGTAGAATCAAGGGCGATAACTCTAGAAGCAATTATCAGAAATTGTTGTAATTTGATCGGATGATGCAACATGCTGCTTGAGCGTTCACGGTATTCTGGCGTGAGCAAGGGGATATATTATAGAATAATTTGGGGGAAATCGCCGAATTTGTTTGTTTTTTTTGTCCCATCCGAACAACTATACATTGTCCCTTGCTGTCAGGCCCTCCCATCCTGCACTACTGACAAGGAAACCCACGCCGGAAATCCCAATGAATCGAACATATGGGACCTCGTGAAGCCAGCGTCTTATTCACCAAGCCCCTGTGGATTGCCTATGAATGACAAACAGTGAATTTTATAATATTTATTATAACAGTATCTATAATAAGCACCATCTAGCTGTAGGAATGTCTTCTCCTTTAATTAAACATGCAAGTCTAATAAATACAGCATTTATAGCATTCATTCATACAAAATATAAATGTTTTAACTGTAGGGTGTTTGAACATACACGGGGCGGATCGGGGGGGGGGGGGGTATGTATATACGCCAAAATTTTCAAGGTGTGTACGCGGGGGGAGTGGGGGATAGAGCGAGACACCCCTCCCAAAAATACATTGTCTCAGGGGTACCGGGCAAATACATTTGCCCTCCTACAAAAGTTCCTGGATCCGCCCCTGATAACAAGTGTACTAAATACAGCATTTATAATAATACAAAATATAAATGTTTTAACTGTCGACAAAATACCAGAAAAAATACCAGGTTATTTGTGATTGTTATTTATACGATTATATATGAATTGTTAACTGGACACGGGTGGATATTAACCCTACAGCGAGGTTTAGGGTTAGAATAGGGATCCCACAATACCCGTGTTTACCGTTGCGGACGTCACCTGATTAAAAATGTAACGTCCTACTGTTCTGCTCCGACTGGGCTAACGAAAATGGGCATACGCCATGCAGTGTACTATGAGGGAAATTTAACCTGAGCAGGGGCGCTGCGACCTACACTTACATCAAATTCCAACTGTCAGGAGATGATTAACGTACACATAAGACCTCTGTTTGGCATCCCATCCGAACGACTATACGTTCTCGGCCCTGTACCACTGAGAAGGAGGAACCATGCCTGGAAATCATTAAGACCTTTCTTGGCCAATGCAGGCATCGAACACCGAATGCCAGGTTAGCGCGCCAACGTCCTACCCTTGCTGTTACCGGGCCGACTTTACTTCACCGAGACAAAATCGCAAACCCGAAACATTGTACTCCATTTTCCAACAGACAGACCCTGAATTTTTGAGCCAAGTCTTAGTAACCATAAACATGGGTACGGTCCCAGTGGTGACACTTATTAATCGGGACTAGAGCTTTTAGCGTTTGTAAATAGGGGAGACAATTATAAAGAAATACTAACAGAAATATTAGTGAATTGAAATGTACATCTGGTACGTCTATTGAAATTGACATGAATGGACACTGAAGACTCGAACTTGCAACAGTCAATGGTATTACGGATGGGTGTCGGTTTTCGCCCTGTCCAAAGCACATGCCGATTTTTTTTTCTTGTCAGGCCGTCTGGTCACGCTTCAATGACAAGGCTGACCAGACTGGGTAAATCCTGAAGAATCTTCTCGACTAACGCCTGGATATGAGCCACCGCATATCCAGAAACAAAATGATACGTATTTTAATACGATTGCTTTAAACGAACGATTGCTGTTAGATTTAATTATTAAGACCATCTGCAGATTTGGTCAAAGGTCATGAGATGGACACAAGGCTTGTGCTAACCCTAATCCTATACCAAGCCCTATCCCACATCCCCGTCAACAAGCACGTGCCCAAACCCTATTTACATATAGGCAACCTTGACCAAATCTAAAGGCGACCTTTATAACTGGATCTAGCCAAACGACTGCCATTCTGGTCAAAAAAGCTAGCTCAATACAAATGATGTGATTTGGTTTAAAGGGACCATCCGGATTTTAACAAAGTCTCAGGAATAAAAGTCTGTGTACGTATGAAATTTAAGCGTCAAAATATAGAGGGATGGTGTATTTACCGTGTATAAACATTTCAGCTCAAAATATTGAGCCGTTTGGACGTGAACGTCAAAACCGCTTATCCGGACACGTAATCCTTTTCAGATTTCCTGTCAATTTTTTCGCTGGGAGTCCTGATAATCTATTGCCGTTTCTTTAAGAGCTTGGGACAGCGGTCGCCATTTCCAGATGAAGACTGGCGGGTTTTAGTTGTTTGAAAACGCATCAGGTATTGAGTTAGTTGCCCGGATCTAAGGTAGGGGATTTTAAGGGCGTTGAATAGAAAATTAAGCAGTTTTATTCTTCAAAATATAATCGAGATTGGCCCTTTAATGGTAGTCTCTTTTTACCAGAGGTGACGTAAGCATGAAATAGCATTACAACCCATACCAAGGCAGTTGTTAATCCGGGTCTTTGGAAAAAAATAATTTACAATTTATTTATAATACAAAATAATAAAGTTTGTCATAAAATATATCTTAAAAATAACCCCACAACTCTTTAATCTCTATTTTCTTGTGCTCTATATACACATCAATCTAATTCAAATACAGATCTATATTTCGTTTCGTTTTTTATACTTTCGATGACCTACACTACATGATGACCTACACTACATGAAGATCTGATCGGTTGTAGTGGAAGGTCGTGTCATACGACCGGCTTTTGGCCATGACGTCAGGCATTGATTAATCATTCAGCGTTGACGTTTACTAGTGGTTTACCAACAGTTCCGTGCACAGAACGCCAAGAACTCACCCTAACAGACTGTTTCATTGGCTAATTCCTCACAGAACGCATGTTATATAACAAGTCTTCCAGATCCCAGTGTAGTAAAGCCAAGTAAAACGAAATTTTGAACTAAAAAAAACGAAACGAAATAGGATCTGTGTTTTAATCAGACTGAATTCGCTCGTGCGCTATATATACATGTGGTGTAATCAAACTGTGTCCTTAAAAATACCAAAAACATTTCAGAAATGTTTTTGCCCTCGTTCGCTCCAGCTCAACCTGTCTCTACCATTAAGTTACAACGGTCTGAACAAAATGGTGTATATAGAGTTACAATAGGTCGAGATTATAGATGCATTATGTAAGAGCTAAATCTGCCAAATGCAGATTTTTCTGTTGTCCTCAAATGTTATAGAAATTATTAATTAGATATTAATTCACATAACAACCTATAATCAACTCGCTAAAGCATCCGATGGCGCCGATTTTGACCGAATTAAAATAAGGCTGTCATTTAATAATATAATTAAAACTAGATAATCGAGACTTTGTTTATCATGCAAAAACGGTAGCAATGAACATCGAGACTACGGAATTCGTTAGAGTCATAACCTGGCTCAGAATGAAGTAATTTAAATGAAATGTTCAATATATTCCTTTTGAACTGATATTGCAAGAACGGCTAGCTCTTTATCTATATCTTGAAATATCATGACTGTTACCTTGATTTTAAAGTCTGTAAAATTCCCTCGAGCAGAGAACTGTTGGGATAGTGCGAACGAGAATGACAAATTTGTAATCTTGTTGGTACTTGCTTCACAAACTACTAGAATGACAAATTTGTAATCTTGTTGGTACTTGCTTCACAAACTAATTCCAAAATCAATCTTTTGGCATAAATGAGTAGTGACTCATTTCACCAAACAGATCTCAAAACACGAGTTTTCTTGTATCCTTAAGTTATGAGCTGAACCTTTCAAAAATAATAAAAGTTCTTTCAAATTATTTTTCTGTATTTTAAATTACCTTTTGTTTATTTTTGGGCGTGGCCTACACAGGACACAATTTTATGAACTACAGTTACTTTTTTTAAAGGCCGTATTTTTCTGTTCAATTCCTAAAGATTTTTTTATCGGCTTGCCAAATCGATTTGAATTTAGTGGAGATGTCATGTGACAGTATAGTCCAGTGGTTCTCAACCTTTTCTTGCCCACGGCACACCTTAGATCACATGAAAAAATAGCGGAACACCTGGCTAAATATATATGAAAAATATTTGAATTTTGCAAAATAAAAACATATCAAGTCATAGACGACATGCAAAACATTGACAAAGACTAGTCATAGACACATAGAATGACTCAAACTAAATAAACAAAAACACAGCTATGAACTTACCAGAAAACATCAGTGAATACTCAATAAGGATCACGTGATTTTTCGCATTTTCAAATTTCACGGCACACTTAGGAAGATCTCGCGGCACAACTGTGTGCCGTGGCACACTAGTTGAGAATCACTGGTATAGTCGATTTCAAAGTACTTTGGCGAGTTCGTTAAATGCTGGACATAGTTGGAAAAAAAAACCATGTAATCACCCTATCAAAACGCATCTAGAGGTATTTGGCGATTTGTGGTAATAGCTCTGAAAATCGGTGTCGATAAATTCTTTAATTAAGGTAATTCATTTGAATTAGATGGACGTTAAAGGTGAAAATTTGATTGAATGCAAATCACTTTAACTAATCAATGTTTGATAAAAACGTCTTAAATATTTTTCAAATTCGCACCCATTGGACAATTACTATTTATTACTGAGCGACGTTTACCGTATTCTGTAAGAAATGTGTCCTGCATATATCACTTATCAATCTTATCAATTAACTACAACACATGCTTATTGAAGAACTGTAGGCCCTATCATCCGAGGGTCCCTAAATTTATAACAGTGTAGGTATGTTTCACAATCAATATATTGGGGTTTTATTGCAATGGCCAACTATAAATGAATACTACATAATATCATAGTGTTTTAAGATGGGTTTAACGTCCACTCAACGGTTGTATGCCGTCTAACTTAACATGTTTTTATTTTGCAAAATTCAGATATTTCTCAAATATATATTTAGCCAGGTGTGCCGTTATTTTTTCATTGTGTTCCAAGGTGTTCCGTTGGCAAAAAAAAAGGTTGAGGGAGAGAGAGAGAAATGGGGTTTAACGTCCACTCGACACAAACTAGGTCATTTCGGGACTAACATATGGTTTAATTTTATTTACATAATTCGCTTGCGCTTAGGGGTCTTTAGCAGTGGGAGGAAACCGGAGGACCAGGAGAAAACCCACGAGGTTGGACAGGCGACCCAACTCCTTGCCACGTACAACCCGGGATTTGAAACCACGCCAGTCGACTCAATGACAGACTGTATGATACAACCCGCGCACGCTAACCATTCAGCCATCCAACCCCCCTGTTTTTCTATAAGTATGTGCTAGAGTTAATTGTTCTATCCGGTGTACTAAGACTAATATATCCTATACTTATCAAAACATATAAATATATATATATGTGAAAATATACCCGGTTTTATCTGGTGCCAGTGTTCTTATTTACAGTGTTGTACAGCTTTATCTAAGCCATCTAAAATATTTTCATTTTCTAGGTAAGGTGCAAATAAAAGGTGATGTGACTTAGTTCAAATAAATTTATACAGTGACTTCAAAATTGCCTATGACAAATCAAATTATTTTTGCAAATTATCTGTTTCATAAAACCAATTCACCAATTTCAACTTTTAAATTTTTAATGGCTAAATTGGTGCAAGAGTAGTCTCTATCATCCAGAAAGATATTGACAACGGTCCCAGACTCTCCGTACATCGAAGTCTAGGAGGTTCTGGGTGACCGAGACTAGTGCAAGAGTTATCATGGAGTGCAAGTGAATTGTAAAAAAAAATTTGGCTAAAATTAAAATTGCAGATTTTGATTTTTTTTTCTTTTCTGGAGACTAAATTGCATTGGTAGATAAGCAGTTCTTGAGTGCAAATAAACGTAAATTTGTTATAGAAAAATTTGGCTAATGCATCTAGGCGAACAATTTTCACACTTATTTTTCTCCAGATTCACTCAGCAAACCTCGGCAGATTCCAGTACCCTACATCTAGCCTCGGCTGTATGACGGTAAGTGATATGTACCTACACCTATAAAATTGTGATGCGGCATCTGTTTACTTATTAGGAAAATTTGCCACGTTAAGAAAGAAGTTCTCACAATTGCGTCAGAGTGTGTAAAATTTTCAGTGCAAACTTGTCATTGTCTAAAGAAAATCGGATAAACTTGAAAGAAAAACAGCTTCAGACTTTGAAGTCTTTGTATGATAAAATAGTTCTCAAAGGCGTCGTCATGGGCAACGCCGTTGGTAATCCGGGAACTTGAAAGTAGTTTCAATGGCGGACTTCTCATACAGCCGAGGCTGATGTAGGGTACTGGAATCTGTTGAGGATTGCCGAGTGCTCCAGATTGTGCAGTGCAAATAACAATCAGATTAAAATACAGATCTATATTTCATTTCATGTTTTTATACTTTCGATGACCTACACTACAAGAAGATCTGACCAGTTGATTTTGGAGATAGCATCAGAGGTCAGGATGGCTTTTGACCCTATGACCTCAGACATTTGATTAACCAATCTGCATTGATGTTTCTAGTGGATTACCCACAGTTCCGTACACCACACGCCAGAAACTCGCCATAACAGACGGTTTCATTGGCTAATCCCCCAAATCATCCAGAAAACAGGTTATATAACAACTCTTCCAGATCCTGGTGTAGTAAAGACAAGTAAAATGAAATAGGATCTGTGTTTTAATTAGATTGTGTAAATAATGAAGACCATGGTTGCTCCTATCACAATATTGCTATAACTGGTGGAGATACGAATCTTGTATTACTATATATACATGTCATGGAGAAAACCTACAAGGTTGGACAAACAACCTAGTCCTTGTCAAGCGGCAAATCGAAACCATGCCACAGACTTTATGATCTACAGCATTAAACCATTCAGCCACCCAACCCCCGGCAGAGAGAGAGAGAGAGGGAAATGGGGTTTAACGTCCACTCGACACAAACTAGGTTATTTCGGGACTAACATATGGTTCAATCTTATTTCAATAATTCGCTAACGCGTAAGGGTCTTTAGCAGTGGGAGAAAACCCACATGGTTGGATAGGCAACCCTATTCCTTGTCACGTACAACTGGGGAATCACTAACCCTGTCAATTAAGTTAGATATTGCCTGAGAATATAGAACATGTTGTTATATCCGAATCATTTACTGTCGACAAGACACTTTAAATACTCCGGCATTAGCTTCAATATTTAAGACAATGACTCAAATATCTTTAACGGATTTGAAATTTGTCCACACATGTAAGCTAAGCATTATAAATAAAATATTTTCCCTCAATTTAACTTGATAAAATTAGAGGGAATACAACTTTAAGATGCCATTTGGGAATAAAGCCTTAAGCAGAACATGTAATATTTTTACCACCACTTTCCTTGCGATGTGACAAAGGGCTTTATTCAATAAAACTAAAACCAATATATTTCAAGGATACTGTTTTTGATTGGTCAAGAGCAAACAATCAACCAATGAAAAGACACCATACATAATATACTTTAGTTAAACTATTTGTGAATAAAGCCCCCAGACCAAATTAGAGGAAAAAGTTTTGGAATTTAGTTGTAAGTCAATTAATACACACACAAAAAGTCATGCAGAATGTCCAACAAATCCACAACATTGACTAGCTTCTATCTGGTGAGAATACAGCTTTAAACACTCTCTGAACAATCTTAAATCAAAGTTTGGGAATACAGCTTTAAACATTGAACAATCCAAGTCAAAGTTTGGGAATACAGCTTTAAACATTGAACAATCCAAGTCAAAGTTTGGGAATACAGCTTTAACACTGAACAATCCAAGTCAAAGTTTGGGATTACAGCTTTAAACACTGAACAATGCAGGTGAACATTTGGGTATACAGCTTTAACCAATCTGTAAACAATTCAAGTAAAAGTTAGGGAAACAGCTTTAAACACTCTGTGAACAATTAAAGTTGTTAAATATCCCTTTAAGCGACCTGTAACTATCAAAGTTACAGTTTTGATACACAACTTTAATACATACGAAGCCGCGAACATTCACCAGAACCAGATCGAAGTATGGTATACAACTTTAAACAACCTATTCAATACACATGAACACAGCTTCTGATCCAAGTCCAGGGAATCTAAACAACCTATTTAATTCACATGAACACAGCTTCTAATCCAAGTCGGGAGAATCTAAATAACCTATTTAATGCACAGAAAACCACGAACATTCACCAGAAACTGATCAAAGTTTTGCATAAATGCGATTTTACTCTGTCTATTGATGGTCATGGTTAGTGTCGGTGGCGTGAGATTATTAAAGGCCACTAGGAGGCGCTGTTTATACTGTTCTTCTATCTGACTCTGTAATAACTGGTTGACTAATTCACGATAATGATCCTGTAAATTATAAAACATATTGATTTATCTTCTATTGTCATATAGATACTTTTTTATAAGTCAATATGTTGTAATACTCCAGTTTCATCTTTTTGGGAGAAAGGGGGATGTCGTAATGATCCTTTTCTAGAGGTCATGATGATCATTATTGTAATATGAGTCACGTGAGATGGGAGTTATCTGCCCACTCTTCTCTGTAATATATATTGTAGTTAATAAAAAGACTACGCATACTTCGAAGTGTGGTCGTACCACGAGAATGTCTTGTTTTTGATATATAGGGGGGTTTGAGATACGAATATGACCGTCCATCCATGTGCAGATATATAGAAGGCATATCAAGGTATTGATCCCAATACAACACTATACAAGATATTTCTGTTGGGACCTCACACTCCAAAGAAATTAAATGAAATGGGGTTTAACGTCTTACTGTTCTGCTCTGAACTGGGCTAATGAAAACGGGCATACACCATACAGTGTGCTACGAGGGAAATTTGACTTGTCTCTACCTACCCTTTATCTAATTCCACATGTCAAAGGTTTATCACACAGGATATTGATTTGGGTACCAACAGAGAGAGAGATAGAGAAATGGGGTTTAACGTCCACTCGACACAAACTAGGTCATTTCGGGACTAACATATGGTTTAATTTTATTTCAATAATTCGCTTGCGCGTAGGGGTCTTAAGCAGTCGGAGGAAACCGGAGGACCCGGAGAAAACCCACGAGGTTGGACAGGCGACCCTACTCCTTGTCACGTACAACTGGGGGTACCAACAGAGCGCTCACTCTCCCTTGCTGTAATTCAGTGTTGTCGTAGGTTTTCAATCTCAACAGTGTCAGCACTGTTTGTCCAAGGTAGCACCAATAATAGAACGAGAGGGAGAAGTGGAATTTAATGTCCACTCAAGACAACTAGGTCATTTCGGTACTAACATATGGTTCAGTTTTATTTCAATAATTTGCTCAGATGAAGGGGTCTTTAGCAGTGGGAGGAAACTAGACGACCCAGAGAAAACCCACAAGGAATTGAAATAGCACCAATAAAAGAATATATTAAAATTACCTGATGACAGCATATTAAACAGAACAATGCTGTGCTGGCTGTTTCTATCAGATCCATATCAAAACTTTCTAATAATAACATATGAAATACAAGCTGAAAAATATCAAAACTCTCTAATAATAACATATGAAATACAAGCTGAAAAATATCATAACTTTCTTATAATAACATAGGAAACACGAGTTGAAAAATATCAAAACTCTTTAATAATAACATATGAATACCAGCTGAAAAATATCAAAACTTTCGAATAATAACATATGAAATACAAGCTGAAAAATATAACTTTTTTATAATAACATATGAAAACACAAAACACAAATATATTGTTTCAGCGGCAGTAGAAACCCCAAGATATTTTTGTTACATATATCATTTTTAAAACAAGATCCTTGCCTGAGTTAATGCAATTTGATCTCGGTTTTGGTTTCGAGGTACCAATCAAACGACTAAAGGCTTTCACTTGCCTGGTGATAAATCAGAGGCTCTACATCTGTGATTTAAGTTAATTACAACTTTCTTGGGGTATTTATAAAAATTTGTTAAATAAAATGATATTAAACATATTTTACAAATATGTTTAAAATATTTCATATTATTTGGTTACTATGGCATTCTCCTTTCCCTAGCAACCATGTACAGGTACAGGGTACACATTGAATGCAGAACTGGGTCATTTTAAACAAGGGAGGTAATTGGCATCTTAAAGATACATAATGTAAGATTTAGATAAAGAGCTAGCCATTCTTGCTATAATACTTCAAAAATAGATAATGTAAAATGAATAATTTGAAAACTTCATTCAAATTTCTCTATGGTTCAATTTTATTTCAGTAATTCGCTTGTGCGTAGGGGTCAATAGCAGTGGGGGAAACCAAGAGAAAACCCAAGAGGTTGGACAGGCGACCCTACTCCTTCTCACGTACAACCCAGAAATAGAAAACACGCAAGTCGACTCAATTACAGACCTTATGATACAACGAGCCTAAGCTAACCATCAAGAACTGACATCAAAATATAGCGAATCATATGAAAAATGAACAAGAGTTCACAGATATTGACTACTGAGAGTATATAACTATTACTAATTAGGCTGGATGAGTTAACTGATTAAATGATTAACCAGTTAACTGCGTAGGGCGTTATATAACGTCCTGGACAACTGCCACTCATCGTTTGTAGGACGTAATATAACGCCCTGGAGGTATTTTCCCCAACCTATTCTTCGAAAACGATCGCAGCATGTGTAGGACGTTATATTACACCTGGTCGAGGAAATCTAATTGAAGGGAGACAACTCTATTTACCGTTAGTTTTAATATGGTATTAGACCACTAAAATTTGTATTCAGGAAGAAATAGGCCAAAAAATGACGTTTTTCGTCAAATTAATTACGCAATTGGGGGTAGTTAACGTTTTAAAAACTATGCAGTTAAGGGGTTAACCTTGATGGCTACTTCATATTGTTGTTGTTAATTAAAGATACATTATGTAACATTTAGATAAACTATAATAGTTCTAAAATAGATAATACAAAATGAAACTATTGAAAATTTCAATTCAATTGCTCCATTGCCAGCAAAGAAAGACTTCAGAAAAAACCCTCGACAGAAAAACCTTGGCCTACCAGCCTTGGTTTTTCTTTTTCTCAGGTTTTTGTCTTCAATCTTTCTTTCCCCAGCATAACCCGAGTCTCATGTTTTATCCTAAACATTTTTATCCTGAAAACAATTCAAGGGTTCCCTTTTAATCCCCTTGAACTTTCTCAACCCAAAATTCTGGCTACCAAGGCAGCACCATATTCACGGAACCATGACTAAGAGTATGAAAATAACGACTTACCTTTAAGAAATGACTCATTGTAGTATGTAAAACGGAACCTGTTAAATTAGATTCGAACACATAGGTAGCTAGCGATGTAATAATTTCAAGGCACATCTTGGTTATATCGGGACCAAATCTTCAAACATGTTAAGGAAATCACAAAAGTATACAAGACAACATTTCCAATTTAGTAACCGCATTTGTAATTCCTGACAACCCCAAAGAACATAAATAAACTAAAACTTGGTTTTGATATAACAATAATTGAAACTTGATTTTAATTTTGATATAATAATAATAAGAAGAAGACTTATGTGCTAAAATCCACATCACAATATGAAAATGCTCTTCCCTGTTTGCACCAACCAGGCGAAAGAAGACGAGCTTGCACCATGCAGTGTATGGGAGAAATTTTGTCCCGACAAAGTTGTTACAGCCTACTCTTATATCAGGGGATCTTTAATGTGTCACCATGCGGGACCTCTGGAAAACTGTATGCTGTTTCCTTGGTCAGCACTCCGGAAGACTTCAGGATGCTGTTTCCTTGCTGGACATTCTGGACGACTACTTGCTGTTTCCTTGCTAGGCACTCTGGATGACTACTTGCTGTTTCCTTGCTGAGCATGTCGTCTTCCACAAATGAAGAAGGGAAACCAGGATGGTAAATCCACACAAACTGTCTCGCCCAACTCCAGGATTGAACCATGACCCTCCTGATTAGTGAGCCAACACGACATTCCCTGAGCCACTCTGGCTCCAAATTCAAAACGTCAACATGTTATGCTCCCACTTTCTAATAGTAAGTGCAGGAGGACTGCACCACACATAATTTACACAAAACAAATCTATGAACAAGACACAATACGCAGAAATCACAAACAAACGTACATATCAAATGGATCTGGGGGCTCGTCGTAAGCGTCCACTGCACTGTACAGTCCCAAGCCTGTAGTGAGACAGACTTAACTCAAAATTGAAAACAAACAATCATGAATACAACCCAGAGAAAACCATTTAACTTTTCATAAAACTTAAAGATACATTATGTAAGATTTAGATAAAGAGCTAGCCAGTCTTGCTATAATAGTTCAAAAATAGATAATGTAAAATGAATAATTTGAAAATTTCATTCAAATTACTCTAATGCGAGCGAAGATATTAGCCTTTGAAGTTTTCACTTGATTATGGCCTGGATAAGTTAATTAATGTCTAATTAATAATTTAAAAAATATTTCAGGCCTAAAGCAAGACCTGCAATAGGCAGATTTAGCTCATGCATAATGCATGTTTTAAAAAAGAGAAGACGAATCTTCCAAAACGGAAAGATATAATTATTAAAAGGATACGCTGTCAGACCATGTTCTACAGAGGTTACTAAAGCTTTAAATAAATTTTCTGGTAGAGATGTGAATTTTTCTGGATGGATGTCTGTTAGGAAGGTTAATAATTTAAAATACTGGGAGCAAAGAGACGGAAACTGAAAATAAAAGGGAGATAATAAATTGAACAAGCACAATCAGTTTAACCTCCTACCCGGCTAATGAACACAGGCATACTCCAGATAATATGCTATGAGGGAAATTTTGAAATAGAATTTAACATCCTACCGGGCTAATGAACACAGGCATACTCCAGATAATATGCTATGAGGGAAATTTTTCATGGGCAAATGACTCGATACTGTTCCTTGCCAGGCACTCCCAATCCTGCGGCAATGAGAAACCATGCGAAAAATTCCTGAGGAACTTTCTCGGCCAATACCAGTATCGAACCCAGAACCTTCTTGTAATCAGTGGAGGGCATTACTAAGACAAGTCATTCTGTTTGCCAGATAACTGTCTTAAGATAAGATTTCAAGACATTTGGAGTCTTTAGCGGTGGGAGGAGACCAGAAGACTCAGAGAAAACCCAAGGAGTACAATAGACGACTCTATTCCTGGTCAAGTAAAAGCTTGGGATCAAAACCACGACACTTGACTCAATGACAGACCTTATGGTCAAAAGTCCATCTGTTAGACCACTTGATCCGCCCACCCTCATACACAGTCCGTCCGATTAGTAATATATTACCTTTAATAATTCAGCAGACATTAACGGTACTAACATATTTAAACCATACATAACTACATCCGCCCCTTCAACCTGACCATTAGTATGAGGTGTTTCTTCAGCTGGAATATACATCAAATCACTTTATAACAAAAACAAATATAATCTCTACTTCTTTTAAAACTTGATTAATAAATAGCTACTTAAATATTTAAACAAGCATCCTAGCATTTTATTTTTTTTTTTAAATCATTCCTCCATCTGACCCCACACAACCCTCCACAAGAAAAATGAAATAAGAGAGAGAAATGGGGTTTAACGTCCACTTACACAAAAAAGGTCATTTCGGGACTAACTTACGGTTCAATTTTATTTCAATAATTCGCTTGCACGTAGGGGTCTTTAACAGTGGGAGGAATCCGGAGGACCTGTAGAAAACCCACAAGGTTGGACAGACCACCCTACTCTTTGTCACATACAATCGGGGAATCGAAACCATGCCAGTTAACTGAATGACAGACCGTATGATACAACGTGCACGTGCTAACCATTCGGCCATCCACCTCCTAATATTTTAAGGGAAGACACATTCACTATTTGTTCGATTTATAAAAAAATAAACAGACTTACGTGGACCGAAGTCTATAAAATCTTTTGATAATAAATTAGTTAAAAGTTCCATTACAATTAAAATATCGTGAAATTTATTTTCTTCATCTTCGCTGGTATCAATTGTTCGTTTGCCTGGAAAATAATATATGACAAAATAATTTTTTACTCCATTCAGAGAAAACTGATATTGTAGCTCATTCTCTATTATCAAATCACAAATGTTTGGCATATATTCAGGCTTGGATTCATGTCCATTCGTCCGACACATATTGGTCATTTGATTTGAGAGAGAAATGGGGTTTAACATGTACAACACAAACTAGGTCATTTCAGGACTAACATGGTTAAATTTTATTTCAATAATATGCTTGCGTTAAGGGGTCTTATGATTTCCTGTGCTTGTGTTAAACAACTAGACCATCCAATCCCCCCAATAGTTCAACATGTCAGGTACAACTAAAGCTATTTACAGGTCAGCTTCAAAGTAATTTCGTTATTACATTATCAAATGTTTTATTTTTTCCGAAAATAATTTGTTTCTAATGGAACTGTCCACACTTGAAAACCTGCCTTGTTTTTAACCAAGGCCATATATACCTGTATTATGTTTAGAAAACAATCGAATCATGGCCTTACCTGTGTTTAGAATACATCTGAATCAAGACCTTACCTGTATTGTGTTTAGAATACAACGGAATCAAGGCCTTACCTGTATTATGTTTAGAATACATCTGAATAGCTGATAAACATATATCATACAACTTCTTAGAATTTGTCTGAAATCATACAATATATTTAGATAATATAATATGTGGGTCCTCACTGTTGTTAAAACTATAGCAATTTGTCTGAAATCATACAATATATTTAGATAATATAATATATGTGGGGCCTATAGTAATTCTATAAAATCCACGACGAAACAAATCTTGAAAACTAGTTATTTAGATATGCAACATTTACTTGTTTCCCTCTCATTACTGTAACAATATTATGGCCTCAACGTAATATTTGTTCAAGATTCATAAACAAGCAAATAGCAGGTGAATCAACGGTGGTATATTGATACCATAAGTTAAATGAACTATAGGGTAATAAACACATTTGGCCTGCATCTTCTTCATGGTCAGAAATATATCATATTATCCTCTCTTGTTTATGAATCTGCACCAGCAGTGATGAAAGGTAACTGAACAGCCCCCGGGGAAGAACGATCAAAGTCACTTTTTCAACTGACCCCAGTTAATGGCACCATCTGGTATCTGGTAGCAAATTTTATAAGCTTTCTGTGGAACAATCAATTTCAGGTAAAAATGATCGGAGTCACATCGAACCAAGGCCCTTCTGAAATGGCCTGTTTTGCCTTTTAAACGAAAAGACAAAAATGTGACTTGGATCGTTCTTCCCCTGTGGAACAATTGGGCGTCCTCGCTGAAGGAATTCCCACCAGGCGTCGTACTTAGGGATTTAAAATCACTGATATGATGTTGACTAGGGATTGTAAAATAACTCACCTCACCAAGGTAACATAAATGTCGTTGAACAACTTCAGACAATAATTCTAATATTAACGATACAATAGTTTCATATTCGTGATATACATCTGAAAATACACAGAGATGGGGTTAAATATCCACTTGATATAAACTAGGTCATTTCGGGACTAACATGGTTTATTTTTCATTTCAATAATATGCTTGCAACCAGGGTACAGGACCGACAGAACTACTCCTTGTCACGGACATAGAATCAGCGAAACTATCTAGTAGGGAGGAAGGGAGACGAAGAAAAATGGGGTTTAACATCCACTCGACACAAACTATTTCAATAATTTGCTTGCATGTAAGCAGTAGGGGAGGACACCTGAGGACCCAGAGAAAACTCACATGGTTAGACAGACAACCCTACTACTTGATCTAGTGAAAAATAGTGCTTGGTATGATCATTTAACTGTAGTAGTGAGGAAGGGAAGCAGAGATAAATTGGGTTTAACATCCACTTGACACAAAATATTTCAATAATTCGCTAGCATGTAGGGGTTATTGGTAGTGGAAGGTGCTGGAGAAAACCAAGGTGGTCAGACAGACGACCACACTCCTTGAACTTATGAAAAATAGTGCAAAGTATGACCATTTAACTCCAGATACTGAGTAGACATGATTTGTGACCGACGAACAGATCACCATCAACTGAAATAGAATAAATATAACAGAACCTACCTATTAATTTAACATTTTCGGCCATAAATGGACTGAGATATAAAAACAATCGTTCCATATTATCCACCCTCGTTCCTTGAGCAATTCCTAATAAAGATTCTAACAAACAACACACACTTTCTCGAACTTCTGTCGACTGACAAATCTTCGTGAAGTTTTCTTGACATAATAAACCATAGAATCTGTCATGGATGGACTGTAGAATCTGTAAATAGTCATTCATACGTCTTGGATAACATTTGAACCAAATTTTCAACTACCAAGGCATCTTGAACATGCACTCGATTTTTCATCCCATCCGGATGACTAGACAGCTGTCCTTGTCAGACACAATTCGTCCTGCACCACTGACAAGGTGAAACCACGTCGGAAAATCCCAGGGATCTCCAAGTAGCGTCTTACTCACTCAACCACTGTGGTTCTGAGTAATATTGGGGAAAATTTGTAAAATAAAATGATTTCAGACAAATTTATAAAACAAGCCTGAAAAGATATCATCTTATTTAGTTACTATGGCATTCTCCTTTCCCTAGCAACCATGTACAGGTACAGGGTACACATTGAATGCTAAAATAGAGGGATAGAAGGATTCTCTTGAACTCTGGAAAACAGGTGTTTATTATAAGCGGTAGATAATTTCTGTGCTTGGATTCAATCAGATTAAAACCAGGACCGTGACAAGCAATTGTGGATGTCAAACTAAAAACGAAATGAAATGAAATGAAATGGGGTTTAACGTCCTACTGTTCTGCCCCTAAACCGGGCTAATGAAGACGGGCATACGACATACAGTGTGCTATGAGGGAAATTTTTCCCGGGCAGTGGCACTATCGCCTACTCTTATATCGAATTCCAACTGCCAAGGGATCTTTTACGTGCACGCCAATGTGTACACTTGACCTTGTTTTTTTCGTCCCATCCAAACGACTAGACAGCTGTCCTTGTCAGGCCCTCCGTCCTGCATTACTGACAAGGGGGGAAACCACGCTGGAAAATCTGGATGGACTTCCTCGGCCAATACAGGGATCGAACACCCGACCTTCAGGCTAGCGAGCCGGCGTCTTGCCCACTTAGCCACTTGATCCCCCTCAAACTAAAAAGGGCTACCAAAAATCATATACTGGCTTGTTTTGACCTTAGTTAAAATTTCAATTCATCATATCTATGTAAATACAAAATGTAATTGAACAAATTTTGGACAAATATTCTTATTACAATCTGATTAAAATACTGATCTAGATTTTGTTTCGTTTTTTTTTTGTAATAATTTCGATGGCCTCCACTACATGAAGATCTGACAGGTTGTAGTGGGAGGTAGCATCAGAGGCCATACAAGCGGCTTTTGACCCTATGACATCAGACTTTTGATTAACTAACCAGCATTGATGTTTCTAGTGGGATATCCACAGTTCCGTGTGGTGCGTGGCAAGAACTTGCCACCACAAATTGTTTCATTGGCTAATCCCTCACATTAACCAGAACACAGCTTTTATAACAACTCTTCCAGATCCTAGTGTAGTAAAGACAAGTAAACCAAATTTTGAACTATAAAAAATGAAACAAAATAGGATCTGTGTTTTAATCATATTGTTCCTTTTAGACTTTGAATTTTCATAATACTGTTGCTCGCAAACGATTCCTAAATTCCTCAAATAATGAGAGAGGAGAGAGAAAAATAGTTTATCAGCCACAGTGACACAAACTAGGTCATTTTAGGACTAACACACAGTTCAATTTTATTTTAATAATTCGTTTGCATATGCTCTTATAGGTCTATTCAAAACCAGTCCACTTGAATCGATGACAGACATTGTGATTTCATGCCCATGCATTAACCCACTAGCCCACCTAATGCCCTTCAAATGATGAACAGAGAATTTAATTGAGAACATCCACAACTTACAATTTTCCAGAATTCTTCTTTAACTGAGGTATCTTTAAAACCAGAGCCAGCCATTATGAGAGCTTTTAATAGCAGACGTCGGGCAGACGGAGAGAGTAAAGAGATGGGAGGTTTATTGCTGGCTTCAAGTCGAGCTAGATCCCACATTAAATTACATTTAACAACAAATACTGATCTGAAATAACAAAATAATATAAACTTAGATTAAATAAATACTTCATTAAATTACAATTAACAACATATACTGATCTGAAATAACAAAATAATATAAACAATTACTTCTATAAATACAAAATTTGTCACTCGATTTATAACTTTAACCTTCCTGTGAATTCATTTTAGCAGTGTGAGAGAGAGAAATGAAATGGGGATGAAATGGGGTTTAACTTCCTTCTGTTCTGCTCCGAACTGGGCGAATGAAGACAGGCATATGCCATACAGTGTGCTATCAAGGAAATTTTGCCCGGAACGTGGCACTATGGCCTACTCGAATATTGAATTCCAACTGTCAAGGGACCTTTTACGTGCACATCAATGTGTACACGAGACCTCGGTTTTTTTTGGCCCATCCAAACGACTAGACAGCTGTTCTTGTCAGGACCTCCGTCCTGCAGTGTGAAAGAGAGAAATGGGGGTTCACGTCACTTGACACAAACTAGGTCATATCGAGATTAACACATGTTTCAATTTTATTTCAATAATTCGCTTGTGTGTAGGGGTCTTTAGTTGTGGGAGGAAACGGGAGGACCACGAGAAAACCCACAAGGTTGGACAGGCCACCCTACTCCTGGTCACGTACAACCAGGGATTCGAGACCATGCCAGTTAACTCAATGACAGACCTTATGATACAACGCGCACATGCTAACCATTCGGCCAGCCACCTCCCAATATTTTAAGGGAAGACACATTCATGGGGTTGGACAGGCTGTAGTAGATGGTCAAAAACTAGCTTAAGATGCACACATGTTGTCTGAATGGAATTGGGGAACTGCAGGCTTAGCCGGAGAAAACCCACGAGGTTGGACAGACGACCCTACTCCTTATCATGTACACCCGGGGAATCGAAACCACGCCAGTTGACTCAATGACAGACCTTATGAACCAACACGAACCATTTGGCCACCCAAACCCCCTAAAACAGAGAAGGACTTACTTTGAACCATTTTTAAGTAAGGCAACAAGAACTTTAAGAGAATCAACAAGTAAATGATCTTCCGAGCTCCACGTCGTTATATTAGATATAACTTTTTGTATAAGAAAATTTATCGTCCATTGAGCACCATCCGTATCACGACCAAAAGCTGATTGTAATGCCATACTCATCTACAAGTAAAAAAGAAAAAAAACAATTATTTTGAGAGATATTGAAATGGGGTTTAAAGGACAAAGGAAAATATTGGTGTCAGTCATTATCACATATGTAATAGAACTGGCCCCGTGTTCACAAAGCATTCTCAGATTTAATTTAAGAATTTACTCAAAATTCTTTGCTTT